AGGGCTTAGTGACAGAATGAGGATGCTGAAGCGGGTAGGAACGCAAGGGCGTAAGGAAACTGGGCGCAGGCCAACTGCACCACTCATTGAGAAGCATTTTTTGGGGGTTAAAAAATACCAATAACTAGCAACAAACTGCCAGTAGTGTAATCTCCTATATGACTTACATTGGTGCAGTGGTTGAAAAAAATAACTGTGTAAAGCCACAACCAAAGGAGCCACTCATGTATCCAAAGAGAGAGAGGAGAGAGGCAGCACAGGAATTGAGAAAGCTCAATCTGAACCGCATACGAGGTGTGTGTTGTGTTAGGTGTGGACCCGCTGCCGAACTCTGTGGGCATGTGTTTGACAGAGTAGTATGACTTTGATGCATACATTGCGCGCGCTCCCAATATTGCATCTGTGGGAGCGCCTCTTGAGACGGCGGCGAGACTAAAATGGCATCGAGGTGGTCAGAGGATGTAATCGGAGACCATCGGTGCAGTAACACGCGCGGCTGACATCGCCCTCCCGCGCTCCGCTCAGTCGTACGCTAAAAAAATACAAAAAAATTAGGGCCAGTGTGATGGGTCGGCCACCGGGTGCTGAATCCAGCTGACTCAGGAGGCTGCAGGCCAGGGAGCAATGACGTAAACCTGCAGGAGGGCAGGCTTGGCAGTGAAACGGGGGACAGGCTAGGCAGGATGGCGCTGGCACTCCAGGGGAAGAGGGGATCAGCGAAAAAAGTGCTAATGGAGTACTGGTGACATTACTACCATTGGGTGATGAGAAATAGTCATGTACAACAAATCCCCCTATGACCACAATTAGTCTAGTGTAATCAAACAGCACACGTACCCCTGTATTAAAAAGTAATAAAAGTAAATTTTTTAAAGGAATAACTTTATAATATGATAATTTTTTTGTAAGACAAAAGGAAATTAATAATGAAATAGCAACTTGTTTTTCTTTTTTACCTTAATTTCACCACCCCTACTACCACCAAAATGTCTTAAGAAAACTCCATATGAAGGGCTCCGGTAAAAATAGTTAATAAATGTTGAAAATACCAGAAAAGAATTGAATGTTTAGGCCTCCAAGCTTTTATTAACCTTCTATTTCAAAACAGCTTACAGAAGACTCACATGTGATGAGAATATATTATTGTTCCTAACTTAACTAACATAGTCTAATTTGTCTAAAATGAGGCTTAAGTAAAGTATAATTCCTAGAGCTGTATGTTTTAACTTTCCTGGTCTGTTTGCTCCTTAGAAACAGGATTTATCTACCTTCGTATCAAGTACTATAATGGAGCATACTATAATGAATTGTCCATTGCTTGTGTCTACATTTAAAATTTTTTGAGAGACCTGAGATAAAAATGGGGCTTGTCAAGCCCTGGGAGCATAAACAAATCTTATTCTTAAAGAATTCCTCACTCAACCAATCATTCTAAATAAATATAGAACATCCATTGACTATAGTTCAAGCTCTTGGATATATAACAGGAATTGGCCTAATTCTCAAATAGGCCGTTTTCTGAGTATTAGTAATAACCAGGGGACCCACACTTCTGTTTTGTACTTTCACCTTTCTTCTGGACCATTTCTTTCTTTCTTTTTTTCTTTTTCTTTTTTTCTTTTTTTGAGACAGGGTCTTACTCTGTTACTCAGTGGCACAATCATGGCTCACTGCAGCCTTGACCTCCCGGGCTCAAGTGAATTTCTCACCTCAGACTCTTGAGCAGCTGAGACTACAGGTGTGTGCTACGATGCCTGGCTAATTTTTCTTTTTGGGGGTGTGTGTTTGTAGAGATGAGGTTTTGCCGTGTTGCCCAGGCTGGTCTTGAACTCCTGGCCTCAAGTGATCCACCTTGGTCTCCCAAAGTGCTGGTATAACGGGTACACCCGGCCTCGACCATTTCTAATGCTGCTATAAGTCTTTAGTCATATACAGTTTTTTTCACAAGTGCCTTTCAACAGTAAAGAAGCAGCTGTAATATCTCCAAAATAAATTTCTGACTCAGGCAGGGTGCTTTTTATAACATCTATGAGTCAGAAGAACTAAGTTACAGAAACCAGACAGGGGCCCATTTCTTATCAATAATTTTGCTTGTTTAAATGTTTTTCCTCCACTTTCTCCCTGCTGTGACTGCAAAATTCATAGCTTTCTCAATTGTTTAAATTCTTCCCTAGAAGCAAAACTAATGATTTTCCATGTCTAATCAGTGAGAACAGCACAAATTCTTCTTCCATCATGATCAGAATCTTCTAGGGTTATGGACTTCTATTTAAAGTGAGTAAATCCTCTTTTAAACACAGATCTGAGTCACAGATCAGAAAGCCTATGGTCTTAAATGCTCATGCTCTCCTCCTGAATTTTTCAGAGTTAACACAGGGGGAAACTCACCCCCAAGTATGCAGGGAGAGCTAAGCCTATATAGCATTCCTAAAGGGAGCCCAGAGAGGTCTGGTAAGGTGGAACTTGGGGGAGGGCAGGGAAAGGAGAGGAAGAGGCTGTCTCTCTGCTCACACTCCTCCACACAACTCCATCAATCATCCCGAATCAAAAGAGAAAATTAGCCACGTTATTTTACACTTGAGTCAATTCCGTAAAATACAAGTGTTTATTTTACCAGTTTAGTTGCTCTCTCAAATGCAAAATACTTTGGAAGTCATTTAAAAACTGCCAGAATAGTTCTTCCTGCACACTGGTTTCTGCCAACTCAATTTGAAATTGGCTCTCTCAGTTCTCTTTTTCTCATGTGCAAGGAACTAGCCAGATCTCTACCTGCAGACGGTAAAATGCTACCCCACGCAACACCAGATTTGCTTTTAAACCAGGTCAGGAGGCTGAGATCAAAACAATGAGGACCATTGGAGCCACTGGGGAGTCTCCAAAAGGGTAATTACGCTTCTGCCCAGGTCTGGTGGATTTCCCAAAGGCTTGTATTTTTTTCAGAAATGGAGTGGAGGGGAATTGGGGAGAAATTACAGTAAGTTAAGGCCTTAAATGGTCTGGAAAATCTTCAGGTTGGTGTGACATCATGGAAACCTCATCCAGCTCTTTGAAAGTGATCCCAAGGTTTAGCACATTACAGGACTTAACACAAGGCAGATACTTGCTACATATTTATAGGATGAAAGAATAAATGGACTGCTAAACTAAAAAAAAACCAATTCTTAAACACTAAGGATGTTTTCTTTCAAACGCTTTTGTTTGAAAAATGTCAGCATTTCCCATAATCTTGCTTCTAGATTTGATCTCCTCAAATTGATGAATATAAATGTTTCTGGCCCCCAAA